CTTCCTTCCTTCCTTCCTTCCTTCCTTCCTTCCTTCCTTCCTTCCTTTTCCCTCCCTCCCTCCCTCCCTCCCTCCCTCCCTACCTACCTACCTACCTACCTACCCACCTCTTTCTTTCTTCTACTCCTTCCATCCTTTCTGCTCTCTTCTTTCTTTCTGACTTTCCTCCCTCCCTCCCTGGTCTTATTTTCCTTTTTTCCTCCCTTCCCTTCCATTCTCTTCCCATTCCAGCAGGCAAGTAAGTGGGTGCTGCTGTGGGTGCTACTGTGTGAGGGAGGGATGAAGGATTGTGTAAGTGGCTGAGAAACTATCAAGGAATGTTGAAAATTAGGATCATATGACCACAGCAGCAGCCCTGCCACACTGAAACAATTGAAGCAGCCCCAACTTCCCCAAGTTTCATTCCTTCAGGAATAATGGTCCTGGAATTCTGTAGGGTAGCCCATTTGCAATACCTTTGTTGATAAAGTTTTGTCCTATGATACACGGTTTTGCCCAATTAAAGGTTACAGACACAATAGCTTTTTATAATATATACTCTAGATATCCTGAATTCTATTCAGTGCCTGGCAAGTTTATAATATTTTGATATCTCTAGTAGTTTCTCATAGTATTAATGGTCTTACAGATTATGATTAATCCATTTAAATCTATGTCAGTGGGTTACTTTTCCAAAAAATCACATAGATTGAAGATGATGGAAGTTGAGGTTCAACACATGAAAACAGAACTAGCTTCTGGAAGATTGACTTGAATTAACTATTTATGATTTGATGCACCAATTGTGCCATATTCCAAACGTGGTTGTCAATCATGAAAACAAATAATCATGGATTAATATGATGCTGCTCTCAGTGATACAATAAGCTGCCAACTGCCTGTGTAAATAAAAGATGGGCAGAATGCAATTTTGATGCAGATGAAAAATTATTCATTTCAATCTCTTATTTTGAAACAATTGAACACTGATCTGAAGGGGTCTCATTTGATTCATTTTAGCTCATTCTGAAATGCATGCACATGTCTAATAAATGAATAAGAGCCAGAATGTATGGTGGGAACAGCAGCAAATTATACATTTGTCATTACATTCAATATTGCTGAATTATATTGGAAGAAAGGCAATATCTCAAGAAAATTAGGTAGCCGATAGTTATTCCAGTTGACTGAAATTATTTCTGTATTGATCCATTCAATCTACCTGCAGACTATAGCAAAGCAAGTATGGATACCATTCAGTTCATATCTAAATATTTAGGACACAAACTCAAGGAACCATGTGGGTTTCCCAGAATCTTTCTTTAGATAGACAAAATAAGTCTATTTTGTGAATCTCAAATTCATGGTTTTTAGTGAAGATGGAGCTAGAATAAATATGAAAATGTACAATATCCTATTATGAGGTTATGAGACTGTAGAAACCGTTGATAACAAATAGTAATAACATAGGTTCCGTTTCCCAGAGATTCTCAGCTGCATTCAATTCTGTTTAGTTGAAGAGACAAGAAATAATATGTAAACAATATATCTGGAGCAAACCTAGATATTATGTTTACTCTTTCACAATTCATTTTTAAAGCTAGCCAATATTCCTGCACCCAGTGGATTAGGAGTATGAATTGACAGTTCATACAATATTGCAATATAAAAATATTTCACTATAGAAACTAGATTCTATATTAGTTATAATCTATCTTGAATCTCAGCTATCTAGTTTCAGTAGGAGATATACCATCATTATAGTGTACATTGAAACTTCCTGCTTTTACATGTATTATGACACTGGCTTGTCACATTAACCCTGAAGATCAATGAGATGCTCTATTGCAACAAATACATGTGTGGAGTTTGATAATCTTTTGAATCCATTCTGAGGTCAGTCCATCATGGAGAAGCAGATTTGTTTGTGATTCTGTTGGATAAATGTAATTGAGAGAAACATTTGATCTCTTCAGCAGAGTACATTCCTTCAATATATATTTTGCATTGATTAATATAGTCTTGGGTTCACTGCTATCACAAAAAGGTTTGTTTATTCTTTCCACTAGCTGTGCATGCTAATTTAATCATTTAGAGCCATGCATTTTTTATCCAGGTTACCTACAGAATAATCTTTGTCCTATTACATCATTCGTCCCAGCTGGGTAAGCAGGGAAGGTATGTTGCAGAGAATTCAATCAAAGAATTCTAACTGGCAGGATCCAGAAAGAGAGTCTTCCCTGCTGTCGCTTTGTGGGACATTCTCCCCCCAGAGATAGACCCCTCCCCCACTCTCGTGCCCTTCCAGAAAGGTGTGAAAACATGGTTCTGTGGCCTTGTCTGGGATGCAGAGAGGAGCATACGGCCATGGGACTGGTTAGCGTTCTGAAAACTCCCTCCCATCTTTTAATTAATTTTTAACATCACTTGCTTCTTTGACATTTTATATATGTTTTTATGTTTTTAATATTTTATTATACGGTGCCCAGAGCCTCTCTGTGAGAGTGGTTTTAAAATCTGATGAATAAATAAGATGAATAAAGTTGTCTTTTGGGGATAGACTCTATTTGAAGTCTTTCTTTCTTGTACAACCAGGTATCTAGCAATATAATCACTATTTCTGGATGGGATAGTTTCTCTTTGGAGAAAAACTGAACCAGATCAAAAGTTTCCCTTTCAGTCTATCTGTATCGTCCATGGTTCAGTGCTCCTGCCTTGTAGCATTTTGCTACATATTCTTTGATTTTCAAAATGTAATTTTGTATGATTTGGTGTCTTTGTGTGTTTATGTTGGAAAGACCACTAGCCCTGCCAAATACTTTGGAGGAAAAAAAAACCTGGGGGGAGAAATAAGACTCTTGTGCATTCCAAATATACCACATGCAGAATTTTGGCATGGATCCAGGTTAATTTCAGAACCATCTCTCCCCATTTATTTTTGCCATCTCATTTGATCCAATGGAATGGCATACTTTGTGTCACATCTATTAAACAATGCCATTGGGTGGGACCCAGGAAGGGTACCCTCTCTGTTGTATCGTCTGTCTTTGATTCCAAATTTGCTAACATTATGAAAGTCCTTGAAGACTGGGTTCAAGTCAGACTGGCACTGGGTCTGAAGTTCAAGTCAGCTCATCACTTTTTGTCCTGATTAGAGTTGTGTTCATTCACAACTGCTATTTTTTTTTCTTACTTTTTTCATTGTATTTTGTTTTATATGTTTTATTCTCTATGGGCAGCCCACAATCATGGTTGAAAGATGGGCATCTCTTTAGATTTATATAATTAATAAACTAATTGACCGTTTTTGGAAAAGTTTACTATAAAAGGGCATTCTTGCAGTCAACTATAATTGGAAATGGACTATGCAGGAACCAGCAAAGAACATTGCCATAAAATTAGCAATTAGAAGAAAGCCCTTAAAAATAACACCATAAGGAAATGAACATTGAAAAATGTAGTAAATTAGAGAGAATTTGTTGACCTGGTTTTCTGAGATGTCTCATTTCTTATGTTTACTTAAACTCCTTTATATTATATTGCCTAACTACTGGAGAAATCTGAACAGATGGAACAAAAATGTCATGATGGCAGTAGTATTTCCCAACTCTGAAAAGTGAGTTTGTGCCAGTTTCTGATTTTATTTTTTTAATAGCTTTTGTTAAAAGATTTTATGTATCTAATAAGAAACACACTCAAAGAAAAAAAATATAGTAAATAGAAAAGAAAGGAAAGGAAGACAAATCTTTTGTTCAGATCAAGGATCATACATTCTATTGTGTCTCTCCAACTGGTTACTCTTAAACTGGCAGAAAGGTAGGCCTAATATGTTCTCTTTATCTGTCAGCTGCTTAATATGCTGCTCAATCTATATGACTATTGTCAAAATAAAAACATTAAACAGAGAGTAAAGTAATCAGGCTCTATTTATTTCATTTCATTCTCAAGATAAATCACATTAAGAGGAAAGTATCTGTTTCAGTTGGCAGCTATGATGTTATCAATCCAGTTGATGTACCGGCAAACTTTGGTGTAGACTCCAGGATAGCCAGGCAGAGCACAACCTATTCCCCAGGAGACAATGCCCTGGAGCTTTCCATTACAAACCACAGGGCCACCAGAATCTCCCTAAAAGACAAAAAGAGTTGAAAAGAAGAAAGATTTGATATTCCAGTTGGCAATCAATAAAAATGAAAATTTGTTACTGAATTTTTTTAAGCCTACACTAAGAAGTAGCGTCAGATCATAAGGAAACCTTGTTGAACAATTAGCCAAATCATTTTTGTGGTCCCAGCTAGGTTCCTCCAAGCTTCATAAAAGTTTGGGAGTTTATAGAAGCTTTCTTCAAAGCGGGAGGGACCTTTGTAATCTTCCATATTTTGCTTCAGTTTGAATCAAAATGTAAGAAAAACAGCCAGATTTCCCTTCCTACCACTTCAGTCTACAATGTCTACAGTGCCCTACAAGTAGCCCTCCAAAGAAACAAACAAAAATTCTAAAATAAAAATGTTATGGTCTCTTCATGTATATCTCTGTATCATATGACTCAAAATATATACACACGAAATATGTTATAAATGTATCAATTTTAAGTGAAATTGTTTTCACTTGCCCAAATAAAATATTTAGTTCAATTCAATTCCGCCCTGAAAATTCCCAGAATTCTTTCAGAGTCCCTGAATAAATAATGTATCAATATTTTTGATTAAATTATTATTAGTTTAAATTTAATGGGTTGCAAAAGGAATTTGGACTGACTAAAATGCAGAATCACAATATATTCAATTAAAATATATTTATATGTAACAGTTTGGGCCAAACATATTAGCAGTGTTCCAAATTTCAAAATTTTTCATATTATTAGAGTTTTAGAGGTTCCATAACCTACAGTTAATATTTCCTGTACAATTGAAAAATAATACTAAAATAAAAAAAGGGAAACTGACAAGAAGTGTGGAACAAATAGTTGGAATGAGTGGTTACAGTTTTAAAGAAATCTTTGTATTCTATATTCTTAAGAAGCTCAAATTCCTGTGAAAGACTTGTTTGGTATTTACCAGGCAGGGCTTTGATTCATGTTTAGAGCATTCTACAATTGCACCACATGGATTCATATCCATAACCAAGTTGATTAGAGGAGAAATGAATGTTAAAGATGTACATGTATGTTTAAATTTATATACTTCAGCCATAACTCAACATCTGGTGATATTTGAAGAACTTGGGTTTTATTGTGTGTGGTCTGCAATTAAAAATATTATCTTCTTATACCAAATAAAGGTCTTGCTACACCCTGATCTGAAAAGAGGTTTCAAGAGGTTTCCACTTCTTACATATGAACAGCTTTTCATTAACACAGTGGAAAATCTGAGCAGTTTTACTCTGTGTGGTCAGTATTTAACTTAGTGTTTAAAACACCAAGCATTTTTCATTCCTTTTTTTTTAATATCCTCTTTTTTGTTTGTTTTTTCTTCTGCTTAGCTTTATTTCTGCTTTCTGCTTTGCTTTGGGGTAATGTTTACCCATGTTTGTTGAAACGTTAAAAGGATTGTTTAAATAATATAGCTAATCTGTAAATTAATCCTGGATGCATATAATTTCAGGTGGTGAGAAAGCAAGTATCCTCACCTGACAAGAGTCTTTGCCACCCTCTAGGTATCCAACACAGACCATATTTGGGGTAATTTGTCCTGGGTAAGCAGCATTGCATTCCTCATCACTTAGGATTGGAGCATTCAGGCACTGCAGAAGATCAGGGTAGTTTACTAGAAAAAAGAGAAAGGAAAAAATAAGAAAGTGAACGGCAATGAAAATACATGTTTTATATTAAAATTTGTTAGTCTTAAAAGATGCTACAAGATTCTGTTTAAATGATCAGCAACATCCCTGTAATTCAAGACAAGTAAAAGCAACTAACTATGGTAGTTACGTAATGGAATCTTAATATGGTGTCTGAGCAGGGGTGGGATTCAAATTTTTTAACAACCAGTTCTGTGGGCGTGGCTTAGTTGGTGGATGTGGCTTGGTGGTCATGTTATTGGCTGGGCGTGGCCAACTCAATATCACTCACATTGAGGCACGCATCTCTTCGCCTGGCCTCTCATGACTGTGGGGATGCTGCAACAGTCGTAAGTGTGAAAAATGGTTATAAGTCACTTTTTTCAGTGCCATTGTAACTTTGAATGGTCACTCCACACAAGCAAAGTACCAGCAAAGGATGGAAAAAATACTGAGACAGAAAGCCTAGTCCTGCCAAGAATGTAATAAGGGTTAACCGAGAGGCAGTTTCTGTAAGCAACACCAGAATGTTTCCTTCCTGCCTTCTTTACAGGATTAGGCCAGTAATTTCTTCTAACAACCGGTTCTCCGAACTGCTTAGAATGTTAACAACCGATTCTAGCGAATAGGTGCGAACTGGTAGAATCCCACCCCTGTGTCTGAGGTGAGATAGCCAACTCAAGACAAGAAAAGTACCTCAGGGGAAAAAATGGAATTTGATGCACATTCATCTTCAGTGCTCTAAAACAGGGATCTCCAACCTTGGCAACTTTAAGACTTGTGGACTTCAACTCTCAGAATTCTGGGAGTTGAAGTCCACAAGTGTTAAAGTTCCCAAGGTTGGAAACCCCTGCTCTAAAACCATCCAAATCAGTATTTATAGGCTTACATTGTTCAAGGCTCAGACCAAGAATTGTTTTCTTCTTAATGTTAGAGCTTAAACCTGGAATTTCATAATAGATTCAAGTTGTCCTTGAATGTCTCTATCTAGTGGTGGTATTCAACCAGTTCGGCCCGGTTCTGGCGAGCCAGTAGCAGCGATGAGCAGCAGAGACTGAATGGTTCTCTCCGCCGCTATGCTGTTGGGCTCACCGGGCTCCCATACTCACCTTTATCCACTGAATTTGAAACGCAGCTGCTTTGCGTGGCACAGAATAGTGTCAGGCGGCAGCTGCTGAAGCAACCGGGATCGTGCAGGCTTACAGGAGGTGAGTTAGAACGCCTTTGCACCTGTGCAAACGCCTCTGTGCCTCCGCAAAGTGTGCATTTGGTGCGCATGTGCATGCGAAGTGTGTGCGTGCATGCAAAGCGCGCCCACCAAGCCACGCCCACCAAACCAGTGGCAAAAATATTTGAATCCCACCACTGTCTCTATCCCTGTGAATACATAAAACATTTAGCAATTCAACAGTGAGAAACACATTAGTAGATTTAGGAAGTGTTGTTTGCATTTGGTGATGCAGAGGGCTCAGGGAATGGCCTTGAAGGATATGAGGCAAATCTGCTACCAAGGCAATAGTCAGATAAGAGGGATTTGAGCAAAGGTCAAGAAAATAACTTTAAAAACTGTCTCATACAAGCCCCTTCATAGCTCACATGCTGCTAAAATGAGGGAAGTGGGAGTACATTCAAATTTGCAAGATTGTGTTATGGTTTATCACACAGTCTGCCTGATGTTTAGGATGGATTTGGCATTTCTATCCACCTACTGAGTCCTTTCAACAGACTTGGGATGGAAAGATGTTGTTCTTGTTGCTAAAAGTTATAAGCAGCCGGACTCCCGGCAGCTCTAGGTAGTTTACAAATTAAAAAACAAAGAACAATACAAGAAACCCAAAACAAAAATGACAGAGAAAAAAAAATCTGAAGATAAGAATAAGGAAAAGGAAGGAAAGGAGGCATCAATCATCCCTATCATTTCCTGAGAAAATAGCCATATCTTCAGCGCCTTTCGAAATATAAATGGTGGGAGCCATTTGAAAAAGCTGACCTACATGGCATTGGTTTCTTAGTCTGATCTATGTTGTCAGGCTGACAGACAGGTAGCAATTACAAATTTTTCAGTCATCTACCTGGGACTCAGAATAAGTTAGCCAATTCTTGTTAATACTCACCACCATTGCTGAGAGTGTTGCCCCATCCTGAGATCAAACAATTAGTACCAACAGCTGGACATCCATTACTCAAAGGGATAGGTGAAACACTTGCACCAATAGTGACAGGGGATTCCAACTTGATGAGCATGATATCATTGTCCAAGAGCCAAGAGTTGTAGTCTGGATGGACAATTATTTTTTCAGGTTTTTTAATCTGCTCGCTCCCTTCATCTTGGATAATATCGTGTTCTCCAAGCATCACAGTCATGCGGCTGGAAGTTAAATGTTGCAGCGTTATATTTGTTGTACAAAGCAATGTCTGATCTCAACCTGAAAAAAAAGCTTTGAATGCCTTATGTTAAAGAACAAGCAATGAGATCAACAGACATAGTTTTAGTAGACACTCCCATTTAAAATGGGAACTTTGCATGTATTCATGATTAATATCATAAATTTCACGAACAGAGATTAAAACACTTCTAGCCTGTATAGTGATGAATATGAATTTAGGGGGTCTATTTTCACCCATCTCCACAGTACAAATTCTGGTATTAATCAAGAAAGTGTTTGCTTTATCATATTCGATGCTTCCCCCCAAAGTATCTGGAAAAAATATTCCTGAATTTTGCATACAAACAAATATAATTACATGTTAAAAGAATGTACATGGGAAGGAATTCATCTTTTTAATAAGTCCAATATAAGAAAATGCAAATGTCAAAGAAAAATACGGTGTTCTTTTAAAAGCTGTTTAGAAATTACATATAACTGTTGCACAAATTAGTGGAATATGCATACAAGGCCTCCAACCATTGTAAAATTATAGAAAGAAGATGGTAAATTATTATTATCTATTCACAACAATGTGAAGTCACAGCAGAAAGTTCTGGTGTTGGCCTTCATAGCATAAAGTTCTTTCTAAGAACTTAAGCAGTACTGGGTACAACTTTGGGTAGTTCACAACAATAAAATAACAATTTTATTAATCCCCACATCCTTAGTGATGTAGGGAGAAGTTAAACTTTGCCCTTAAGCATAAAGAAGTGTTTTCTCGTAAAAAGTGTTTTCTCGTAAGATAAAATGCAGGAGAAACAAGGCAAGAATGTCCATGTCAAGGTTAGATTCAGGTTTTATGCTCTAAGTATACATAATGCATACTAGAGCTTCAAAGCCCTCTTAAGATGCAAAACAAAATAGCACAAGACTATTCCTGACTTTTGGCAGATAGTATAAAACATCTGCTTCAGCCTTAACTGTTATACTGTAATTGTTAGAAACAGACTTTAGCCTTCTAATCAAAATAATATTTTCTGCTTGCTGCATTTCATCCTTGGATCACTTCCCTGAACTGTGAGATCCTGAATAGGATTCTACTCTCACATACTGGATCCAGGTGCAAAAGAATGTGCCCCTTGAATCAATTCCATGACAAGCTATTTCTGAAGAAACTTGTGACTTTCAGATAATGAGTTAGCTTAGCAAACGATGTAAGGAGCCCTTACAGATCATTACATTTGCATACTATGTTAGTTTTTCTGATGAAGTGTAATTGATTTATTTAAGATATTTCCATACCACTATCACAATCTATATAACTGAGTGGACGGTTACACTCCTGTAAGCTTACTTTGATATCATAGGCATTTTTTCAGGTTTGGGATTGCTTTTTAATAATAAAACACCAGACTAGAAATAAATAAAAGTGGAATCACAAGCATGCAAGACTTTACTGAATGAATATGACATTGATTCATTGTTGGTGCATGTTTAACTTCTATGAATAGAAATCTGCTTTTAACATAATAAAAATACAGTTCACTCACGATTTGTAACAATGGGCAGCTGAAATGACCCATTGTTGATTGATGAGGGAACCGCCACAGAAATGATAACCAGAATTCAGTGAAACCTGATAAGGGACAGCATTTCTCTGGCAGGTATATCCTCCAACAATCTTGTCATCATCCTCCTCAAAGGGGGCAGCAACTGATAAGAACAGGAACAACAAAATGATTAAATACAGTACTATTATTTAGCAAACCAACTGCAGTATATGTTCCTATTGACACCATGAAGCCATGAGTGCTATTTATAGAGAAGGCCACTACTCCTCGGTAATTTGATGCATGTTAGCCTCAGCTGAGATTACTTTATAATGGACTATCGAATGATTGAATTATTTCAACATTCCTTATATATGTTTATAAGTTCCCCAAAAAGTTATCATCAGCAGTGTTTTTTGTTTTCTCAGATTTATATAATGTATGCAGGTTTATGTAGGTATGTGTAATTTATTTGAAAGTTGTGGGATATTGGAGCAATCTATATGTTTCATACATAAAATTATACACACATGAATAATGAACACATTATTATATACACATATAAGTACATACATATATACACATATAAGTACATACAGAAAACTGGATATCAGAGCGAACAGTTCTAGGCATCAAGCCACCTTCGAATATGTTTGTATTCTATATATTTTGAGGGAAACAGCAGAAAAGGAACAATGGGAATTGTTACCAAAAAGCAATACCAAAATCGAATGGTAAAACCTGATTTATACTCAGGTGAATCTTCAGAAGAGAGAAGAAAGATTTGGGGCATTTGTGTGTGTATGTGTTTCTACTGTTAATAGATTTAGCTTTAAGTCAAGTACAAAGGAAATTTAGGACTCTCTTTCAAGTCAGACATACAAGGAATTTCACTTAAATCAAATCCAAAAGAGTTTCACAAAGCTTCCTTGTGGCGAGGGAGGTTTCTTTACACTTCTTAGAGCAAAACATGTATTCATTAGGGCTTAGTACATCTTAGAAAATTGCAGGGTTCTAAATGGTTCGGAGAGAATAGTAGAAGTATATAAATCAAGGCTCTACCGATGGAGAAAATGGCAGTCTGATTTAGGCATTCAACTGATTAATGTTGTTGAATCCAAAGGATACCCATCAGCCTTTGCTTAAGTCTAGTTAGAAAGATAACCAGAACTGCCTATACAGTAAACCTTTGATTCAAAAGTTCTAATGGGAAAAGGGATGGTTCTTTAAAGCTAGATATTTGAGCCCTAACGCACCCACTCATTTTGTGCCCTGCTGAGGAAGATGGAGAGAAAAAGATGGCTGTGCCCACTGTACCGGCCCACTTCAGAGACTGCAGAAGAATAAAAGTATTTGTTTTAAAACTCACATGCTGCTCCGAGGAAGGCAAAGATCCACAGGACTTTCATTCTGTCTGTTGGTTTTTGTAAATTGGAATGGGGTGTCCTGAAGGAATCTCTCCCCATTTATACCCTTCCAGGGATCTTATCTTAATGGCCCAAGGCCACAACAGCTCCCTACTTCCCAGGGTCTTGCATAAGCATAATTACCAATCAATCACATATTAGACATTTTCATGATATACTGTAGTGATAAAATTATTCCAGGTGTCTTAAATCTGAAGGAAAGCATTAGGTAGATACTCACGCACCATTTGAACTGTGTGCTGGGTCTTCCATTGAACCCTCTGTCTCCCTACTTGAATGTTTCTGAATGTTCTAAGATTTTTTTGGTTTGCAAAGCCTGAGTCTTTTTTTCTTTCTTTCCTTCTTTCTTTCTTTCTTTCTTTCTTTCTTTCTTTCTTTCTTTCTTTCTTTCTTTCTTTCTTTCTTTCTTTCTTT